ATGTAAAGTATCTATTTGATTGGCATATTTTGAGGATATTTACTAAATCCAACTAAATTAGATTAACAAGGTTATAAAAAAAATTACATCAATCTTTCTTTATTTATAAATCATGTCCTAATAATGTCAAAGTTCATCCATTTCAAAAAGAATAACAGGAATTAGGTAATTTATTAATTCTCCCATCAATTCCACCTGTTAATTTTACATCATCTTAATACTAACCATTCTATTAAACTATTTTCTAATGGTAGAATTATTTTATTTATATATTTCTAACTATACATCCAATTTTAAAATATTTAAACCAGCTACTGCACAAATAGATGAGATTCTAAAGATGGTAAGAAACCTCCATCCTAATTTTAACATTTTAGCATAAATTTTCCAATAGTATATTAGAATTCACTACTATCTATCTCTAACAGATCTAAATATCCTAATGTACTATAAAACATTCTTAAATTTGTATCATTAGAACTTATAGCGGAGCGCATAAATTTCCATCATCTTAAATAAGTTATCGAACAAAACTTAAGGCTGATTCTTTATCTATTTAAAAATTGCCTTGGATTTGTTTTAAAACGAAGACAGCACAATATTTGTCTACTATTGATGGTTCTGAATCATCAAATGAAGAATCCCTCTTAATGTTTTTTCACTTATAATAGTTTCAAATAATCAATTATTGATTATTTATCATATTCTTATTTAATAATAATCTCAGAACAGCCACACAACAATATAAAAATAAGGTTTTTAATGATTCCATTTTAGAGGTGAGTTTAAATAATTTTTATAAACATTTAAATATATTAATATTTGTATAGGATGATTTTGATGAATTCTTCATGTTTGTCAAGATTTATAATTTAAATATTTGTATTGTAATCATTACTATTATGTTATTGTTAATCGTTATAACCTAAGTATTATTATGGAGTACGTAGAAGGAGGAGATTTAATTGTAAAAGATTTAAAGGGTTGTAAAAAATAGTAAATGATTTCTGAATAAGAGATATGGCAAGTTGCAATTTAAGTTTGATAAAGATTATGAGCATAACATCATAAAAAATATTGCATCAAGATTTGAAATGTGTAGATATCTTCCTTTATTAAAATGATTAAGTCAACTTGGAGATTTTAATTTATCTAAATTAGCCAAAATGGTTTAGTCTATACTCAAACTGGCACACCATATTATGTAAGTCTAGAAGTTTGGTAAGACAAACCATACGATCACAAAACCGATATTTAGTCATTAGGTTGTGTGATTTATTATGAAGCTCGTGCTTTAAAACAGTATTTATGATTCCACTATTAGTATAGACCATTTAAAACCAAAGATATGGATATTTTTGATGCAAGTGCATCCTTAAAATAAACAAGATTATAGTAAGAATTTATAAATTATAATTAAGATAAACTTCTATAATATTAAACTTACGAAAGTAAGCCAAATATTATGGAATTCTTTTAACATAGAAGATTTTGAAGATGATTTATAAAAATTATTAAATGGCAATTACTAGAAAAGGACTCTAAGCAAATAAATCAGAGTTAATTAATCTAAATTATTCATTTATCTGATAGTAATTCCTTAAATTAGTATAACAACAATCTCATAGAATCAAATCTTAAGATACAAATGATTCAATATCTCTAAATCAATCTAATGAAGCTTTACATCAAATTAATTAAATAAATTACTTAACTAGAATAAAAAGATATTGAAAAGAGCTCAAATGTTAAATAAATCTTAATAAGTCTACTTTAAAATAAACAATTTAAGATAATATCTTACTCCAGATAGAAGATTAAGAGTATTCAATTTTAAAAATGAAAAACATCAAAAATAAGATTCAATCTAACCGTAATCATAATATAAATATCGTTAAGTAAATGTATTGCTAACTATTTAATTTAATTTTTTTAAAAAGATTTATTAACGAAATAAAGATTTAATTTTTTTGTATAAAAATTATTATATTATCAATATATTGAAGGATAGAGTGGAACATCAAAATCAAATTAATTCTAATTATTATGCCAAAGATGTGATTTAATCTTAAATAAACAACATTATTCATAAAAGTTACCAGTCATCTCTGGTTCATAAAGATAATAAAGATGAGGAATACTATTTAAGAAAAAATTCTTCTGATGAACGCAATTCTAGTAATCATTTTAATAGATCTAAAAATGATTTAGCTATGTTACCTAGTTCAAAAAGACCGACTGTATTGATGAGAATAATTGAAGAACATCAATAACTATTATTCATTTTCTATACCTAAACTACATTTTATCTTTAATGAGCCATGATTAATAAACCTAGCTTCAGGAATAGAATAACTCATTAAAGCACCGATAAAAGATATAGTGTCTTTACCAGTAAATTTATAATAGCTATTGGTTCATCATGATTCGAATGAGATGCAAATTAATTTCATATGATTAAACCTTATACATTTAAATTTGATAATAAGGTCTAACTTTACCTATATCTAAAGCAGCTTATTAATCCAATATCTTGCTCCAATAAACTTCTGCCAAGAATAAAGTGTTTGGATATTGTTATTTAGTTTCTTTAATGGCTTCATCGCCAAAATATAGTTGATGGTCTGTTTTTATCCTAAGCATTTAATTAAGGCTCCATATCATATCTCATACCATATGAAATTGAGGCTATTTTGTTGACAATAGATTTGAGAAAAGTTCTTGTATCTTAATTCCAATAATTCCACTAATCAGTGTCTTTCCAAAATCCATCCCATTAATTACCACCATAACTAACTCCATCAGGTAAGTAGTATTCAGAATCATAAGACTTAGGAGTATTAGGGGTGCTCTAATATAATAGTCTATATTTGATGTTCTAAATGGACTATCAATTGCAGAATGATTTGGAATGAAATCTAGCATAAGTATTAATCCCATATCGTTAAGCTTCTTTTCTTAAATTTATGATATCTTAGTCTGTTTCTCGTTTAGAATTACAAATAAATTCAGTAACAGCATAAGGTGATCCTATGATATTATTAATGGAAAGTCATAATTTCAAGGTCTTAATGATAATTTATTCATAGATTGTTGGATTGTATGCATCATCTACCATAACATTTATAAATAAAACTATGATGACAAGTTTGTACAT